AGGGAGGGCCATCTACACACCAAGGAGAGAGGCCTCAGGAGAAACCAGCCTCGCCCACCTGGACCTGGGCCTTCCTGCCTCCAGACTGTGAGAAAACAAATTTCTATTGCTTAAGTCCCCCTCCACACCGATCTGTGGCAGGTGCTTATGGAGGCCCGAGCAAACTAACACAGTAATAAACCGGAACTTCCACCAAATATCTATTCTTCAATAGAGAGCAAAAGAAGGAATGTTGCAGGGCTTCCAAAATGCCCCAGGTGGGCCCCCACGTGGAAAAGCCTTTTAGCAGCTGCCTGGATTGTCCAGCTTGAGCCCAGTGTCTGACCCGGAGCCCTTGCCTGTGTCACGCATGGGCTGGAGGGGCTGGTTGGCACCAGCCAGGCTGCCCTGGGGTCGGTTCACCGCCTTTGCTGCAGCCGGAATGAGCAAGTAGATGGATGCAGAACTCTGCCCGCTGTGGCCGGATTAAGGGCCCATGTTTCCTTTGTGCTGAGGGTTAGTGAGTTCATGAACGGAAACCATGGAGAACATGCAGGGAACATATCAATGATGGAGTCATTTTGGTAACTAGGACATAGTTCCCCTCAACTAGATCCCATGGTTATTGCATTCTCCAGCTCGATATCCCTTTATCTTTCCAGTACCTACTTGCAGCTCCCAAAAATTTCTCATTTAAAAAAAATGTAATGATTTTTAAATGCTTGGGATTAAGGATTCCTTTTTTGTAAAACATATTATTGATTTCAGAGAGGAAGGGAGAGGGAGAGAGAGATAGAAACATCAGTGATGAGACAGAATCATGGATCAGCTGCCTCCTGCACGCCCCATACTGGGGATCGAGCCCGCACCCCCAGCATGTGCCCAGACCAGGAATCGAACCGTGACCTCCTGGTTCATAGGTCAAACCTCAACCACTGAGCCACGCCTAATGCCCCAGCACTGACTCCCCCTGCCGGCATTTCAGACAAGGTCTGTTGGCAATAGGAATCCGGAGGTTTGTGTCCCCAAACTAAAGTGGCTTCATCACAGCATCCAGTTACCGGTCTCAGGGCCCACCGGCTGGCAGGTGGCGGATGAAGGAATGAGTCAGTTACAGCATCATGCATAACTGTGTCAATGAATCACAGGGAAAGGGAAAAGGAGATTGATTTTCACTGAATATAGTCATGATAGGCCTGGTCTGTCTGCATTATCTCATTTTAGTTTTCAAAGATTCTTTGACATAATAATTGGTTCTACCTTAGTTGGAGGGAGACTGAATGCTAGAGACATCGAGGTAGTAAGGGGATAGAAGGGGCTGCTCCTTTCACTGTTCTTGGGAAGGCAGGAGAGAGGGAGAGAGGGAGGGAGGGAGGGAGGAAGGAAGGGAGAGAGCGTGAGCAGGCAGGAAGGAAGGGCAGAAGAAAAAACAAAGTGAGAGAAGCTGAGAAGGGGGGAGGAAGAGGAGGAAGAGGAGGGGGGTAAGGGGGAGGGGGCCG